CAAAAGGAAGGAAGGACGTTAGGGCAGCTTTTATGACAGTTGTAATGTGTCCTGGGTTCTGGCTTTGCCGAAACCCCAACTGTGTAATATTGTTTACTGTGTTAAATACAATGATTTCATCTATTTTTTTTATTCAGTTACAAAGATGTAATATGTTACATATTTTTGTAGGCTTAAGAATGATCAATTATATTTTAATAATATTTTTAGAGTTTGTTATATATAGATTTTTCCGATTTCAGTAGGATTTTGCAACAGGGAACGCTAAACGCTTCTAAGAAAACGAATGTTTGTGGAAATTTTAAAAATTATATTAAATTTGTGTTTACAAAATGGGTGTCATGTAAACATATAGACTTTATAAACGTTTGTAGAATCTACTTTTCAGAAATGCTATTGTCATGTGTAATGAAAATGTATAACCTAAATTTTCGTTAATTATTTCATGTCTACAAGTAGGCAGTATTATGACAGTTTAAATACATATGAATAGAGTATAAAGACATTTATAATAATAAACTATTCCTATAACTTGTTGTATTGTGACTGTTCATTCAAACAAAGTCTTAAAATAGAGACGTATATTTTCCAAAAGTTTGGTGTTATCTTTTAACAACAACTGAAGGTGAAAATTAACGTCAAGAGGTACACAACAAACGAAATTTCCACCGAGAAAAGCTGCAATACATCATTCCTCTACAAGGAAAAATTTTCTCCGAGAGTAGTAGTGGGGTGGGAGCAACATTCCAACTTTTATGTTGATATAAAATGTTTGTTGTTTTCAGTCTCCACTTGGATGATTTAAACTTTCCTAACCGAGTTGTTGCGGATTCTTAACATGCACACATTGTGTGCGTAGCAAATATAAACATTCTTTCCGCTAAATAGTTGTATTTTACACTATTGAATGGAAGAAAGAAATATAAAAAAGTTATTAAACCCGTTGACAAGTTTTTTGTTCCCCTCAGATAATTACGAGTGGTTTCGGAGCTTCGTTGCTCCATTTTCAAACTGGATTGAAAAAACTGCGATACATGTCACGAATAATATTTATAAACACTGAACATAGATCATGGGGAACATAGCATATTACATTAAAAATATTACTAACAAACTACTTAATTCGTTGAACAGTTTTCTGTGGTTCAATGAAGCTCTAAATCTAGCCATGATTAGACTACAGTGACATGTATCCAGTGGTATCGTTGCAATTGTTTTGATGAAAATCGTTATAACCAAATCAGAGTTCTCTATTTAATGTAAATGTTTAATTTGCCACGGTGATTTTAATGTAAATTATTCTCGTTTTATAATCCATAATAACTCTAAGAAATTAATGAAATATTTGGATTTTTACTTCACAGTAGAACTACCGAATGATTTAATACTCACCAGAAAACAACTGAAACAAAATGTAATCATTCACCGTGTCGTGTAATAAGAAAGTAAGCTATGAGGAAAAGTTTTTATCGAGTAACCCAACTGTCCTTCATCTTGAGTCATTATTCATAATTAGTTATTATTATGCTTTTCAGCTAGGCCTATAATAGAAGTAAAAAAAACACAGATAATTCCGTTGCTGAAAGTCAGCTTTTTGTCCAGCACATATTAGCAGCTTTAGTATTGAAGTTATGAGTCCATCCCACCCTAACATAGCAAGAAATCAACCTTCGGGGAACCATTTTGGTTTATAGAAAGTTATTCTCTCTACACGTTTAGACGATTATTCATTTCCTTGTTCAGCTAATACATAGTTTGCAGGAATAATGTTTTGGAAATCTTACGATTCACTAGAATTATAAGCTGAAATAACATTAACCTAGATATTCAAAATCGTTGTTTTTATAAGATATTCCCAAACTTATCGTAAATATTTAAATTAATATTATTACATAAGTTCAAATACTTTTACTTCCTTTATAATCCTTCCTTTATAATTTTTCTTCCTTTAGCTAGTCATATGCCAAACACTATGATTTATGGACTATGAATTTTTGTTTGAAGTATATTTAAAAAATGTTTGATAATTGAAAACAAAGTACTAAATTACTAAATTGTGGTTTCATGACCTTTCTAATGACAACCTGTATTATTTAAGAATTTCCTAAAATATTCATAATTTTAGCACCACTACATAGAATCTTAGTTTTATCAGGTGTTTTCGCCGTGCTCACAAAGTGATAAATCACCGAAGTAGGTTTAACATGTAGGATTAGTTCGAGTTGCCCTCTCCTCCCTCTCCTCCGTGAAACATCTTATACAAATCTTGAACTAATTAAAAATAACTTTATACTAAGTGAAATAAATACCTAGATTATTTTATTACATAATCGAGTTTGTGAAAGGAGTTAACAGCTTAGGATGGATTTTGGTTAAAAATATAAACACTATAAAAATATTAGGTAATGAATAGGCTGAGGATTTTTTCTGAGAAATGCAAACATTAACTTAATTGATTGGGTCAGAATTTTACACAATAGCAGATCAAAAAACACCGACTAACAGATAGGCAAACATGTCCTTAAAATCCCTTCGGGTTACACATAAATGGACTCTAAATGTGTATAGTAATTATGACGAATATTATAACTGAGAGGGTATAGATCATAAGCATAAACCGATGACGCATCTGGCCTGAACCCTATACTGATTACTTTAACCTGGTTTGGATAGTTTCATTTAAGTAATGCTAAACAATGTTTACTTTCGGGCCAGTGACATCAAATGTTTATGTTTATGATACACGCCGTTTCTGTTATAATATTCGTGGTAATTATTGATTCTCAGGATAATTAAAATAACCAAATCACAAAGCTCTACACACAAAGCTATTTACACAAAGCTCTGGAGGGTTAATTTTTTACCACCCCACAGCTCATTGAAGCTCCTCCCACCAAATATTATAACACTAAATGGTACATTGAGTGATGTTTCTGTACATGTTTGGTGAACGGTTTTCTCCAGTAGATTTAAAGAACCACCTTCTTTTCTGCGTTCTCAATCCATCGCGTTTTGCAGCACGTGTAAAGCAAGTAGTTTTCTTATAAATTTTAAGAGAGGAAAGCAGCAAATAATACATCACATCTGTCACATTGATGTGTTCACGGCTGTGTCTGCATATTAGATGTCTGCTTTCCGATACAACGTTTTATCATATAATCCTCGATGTGGATAACCCGAGATATATAAGCAGCTTGTCTTGGATCTACAGGTTGTATCGTGGCGGTAAAACTTGCATTTAAAAAACTTTATGTGCAGTGCCTCGTGTATTGCATTTTGCTGAAGTTTATTGCATTTGAAGCATTTAATGTGTTGATCTTGTGTTGTTTGATTTATTTAGGCTTTATTGGCCTTAGGTGGTAACACTGAGCCACCATTTGGTTGTTTTGAAGATAACACTTAGTTCTTGGTAACCCTAACATTTATAAAAATATTTTGGACATATTTATGCAATTACAAATGATTAGGCTATGCAAACGAATCTCAAAGTAAACATAATTACCTTACAATCTCATGTATGCTACCGCAATACACATTTTACAAACACATCGAATAACCCTGTATATTTCACGCAGTAGCCTACACACCATATCATAGAAAGTTTAAAACCTAAAGCAAGGAAAGCTTCCGCGGGGTTCGCAAATTTGTGTTATTTTAGTAAATGAAAAGGACAGGCTTACTTAGGTAAGAAGATTACAGGCGTGGCGAAAACGTCGGATTTACCGTTAAGGTATTTAGCAGGGCTACATTTTACTCTTTTTACTAGAATTACAAGGATGCGTTCTCTGCCTTTCTTTCTCACTGGTTTATCCCCCTATCTTATTTGCCTCGGTAAATAAACGCCTTACGTAATTAAAGTTTGCCTTTTATTTTACTCGTATCTATATCTCCTGAGCTATAGAACACGTCAGTTTTTATATTTGATCAATTAAACAAATGAATCTTAATTACGTAAGGGGAGAGGTAGTAAAATCGAATATAGTGAAAGAAGTAGATCTTCAGATCAGGAAGATCGGGTTTAAATACACCTCGTCATCATGAGTTATTTTCGATTTTTGATTCATAATACATTTGTTTTGTCCATAAAAATATCAGATACGAATGACATTTTTAGAGACGAATAAAGTTGATCAGCATAGCGGGAGGCCAGCTATCTCTCGTCGTATCCCATTCGATATTCTCACTGTCTACAGACTGCATATTGAATGAATACATTCTTACCCTAGCATATACCTTCCCTTTTTCGAACCTTTGTTATTTTGGTGTTTTACTGTTGACTATCAGCGCAGACTGTAAGCGCACTAAGCTGATTCTAGTGTGTTGTTTTACAGGAGGTAATGTGGTCACACGGCACTACAGTGTCGGACTACGGACCAATCACGAGCAGATGCTAGATCTACGCAAGCGCACTAAGCTGATTCTAGTGTGTTGTTTTACAGGAGGTAATGTGGTCACACGGCACTACAGTGTCGGACTACGGACCAATCACGAGCAGATGCTAGATCTACGCAAGCGCACTAAGCTGATTCTAGTGTGTTGTTTTACAGGAGGTAATGTGGTCACACGGCACTACAGTGTCGGACTACGGACCAATCACGAGCAGATGCTAGATCTACGCAAGCGCACTAAGCTGATTCTAGTGTGTTGTTTTACAGGAGGTAATGTGGTCACACGGCACTACAGTGTCGGACTACGGACCAATCACGAGCAGATGCTAGATCTACGCAAGCGCACTAAGCTGATTCTAGTGTGTTGTTTTACAGGAGGTAATGTGGTCACACGGCACTACAGTGTCGGACTACGGACCAATCACGAGCAGATGCTAGATCTACGCATGTGCACCAAGCTGACTCTAGTGTGTTGTTTTACAGGAGGTAATGTGGTCACACGGCACTACAGTGTCGGACTACGGACCAATCACGAGCAGATGCTAGATCTACGCAAGCGCACTAAGCTGATTCTAGTGTGTTGTTTTACAGGAGGTAATGTGGTCACACGGCACTACAGTGTCGGACTACGGACCAATCACGAGCAGATGCTAGATCTACGCATGCGCACCAAGCTGAGTCTCGTGGTCCGTCGAGCTGCTGTTGACGCTATGCTTTGCTGTGGCAGGAAAAAGGTAAGATTTACTTTTTATCTATGGTTTCTTAGGTTAGGTCATAATTTTCTCAAGCATGATGGGTTTTTATAACTAGTTTCGCAGAATCATTTGTCGTTTCATGCGTCCTCGATTTAGTTCATTATATTTACAGCTTGTTTGATACTCTATTATGTTTTTTACATTGTATTAGATTTCACAGGGGGAGCGAGCTGGCGTAGTGGTTAGAGCGCGGGACTTCAGTCCCTGAGGTCCCGGGTTCGATCCCCGCCAAGTCACCAATTGATTTTATCAAGTGATAATACTGCAACCCCTAGGTCTAGCCTGAAGTAATGTGAAAAAAATCCAGGCTCGTGCCTAGCGTCCTAGGACAAAAAAAGTTAGATTTAACAAATCCATTCATTATTTACTTAACCCCTTTTCTCACACGAGCAACATGATTATGATAAAAAAATTTGAATTAAAATGAAGAATCAGCTATTCAATCTAAAATAATGGTTTATGGATTTTACTGATACAGGTACTTATAGTGGTTGATATTACCTTGTTACTGTTCAAAACGATCCTTTGTAGTTTGTTCTGACTACAGCTGTTTTGTGCTTCGGATGGAGCACATCATCAGGTCTGAATAATGTCAAATACTCATTAAATATTCCTCGTGGCCGAGTTCGTCAAAATTTTAATAGTAAACTAGGGCTCCCCCCTTGGTTGAAAACTTGACCAAAAGTATTTATTGTGCAAACTTCTCTATTTTCACCCCACGCTGTAAACAAAACATGTGATTGGAATTCCTTCAATTTTTTTGTTTTCTGTTTATATTTTGTTGTGATTTTATCCCATGTGATTTCAACCCATAAGGCCCATGTTAATTTTTTAATTTTTTTTTTACATTAAACAATAAGTAAATATGATGGCATTTTTAACAATAAAATAAAAATTGGAATGCATGAGTTAAAATAATTTTTTGTTCTTATTTTTGAGTCTACTTTAATTTATAAATAGATTCTACACATCAGCAATATCTTTCTAACAGTATGCGTAGATTTTCCTTGAGATGCACAGGAGCTGAGAAAATGGTTTCAATAAACATGTTTGTCTATTAATATATAGAATTAGCATCATGTTAAATCTCCATAAGAAATATAATTAAACTACTATATCTTAATTCAGATTATCCAGAGGCCATTCTATAATGAAATTTACCATTCAGTGAACGTTTTTATGAGCCCAGTGTTGGATTGATCAACAATGTGCTGAACATGTACTCCATGACGTTCATAGCACATTTTATATCAACCAGATGCTACGCAGCTTAGCAGGTGACACAAATAACAAAGCTTTCTCTTAAATTTAATTATTAGTTTAATTTTTATAAGGTGATTTATATGCAAGTATTACACGTTTTATGTACATTTCAGTGGTTTTCAATGTAAAAAAAAAACACAAAAAAAACATACTAATATGGTTGTACTTTATGACAAAATTATTAGTCTGATTAATTATGATTAGAAGCATAATAGTGATAATTTCTTATCCCTTCTTGGTCAATGAAATGAAATTACTGACATTCAAAAGACTGTAGGATTGATTGCCTGGCTACTATCTAATTCTGACCGATTGGTAAAGAATTCACTGGCCAATATTTAAACTCTTTTATACTTCGTTCCAAATTAATTCCAAAAGGTTGATTACTTTCTAGCTGAAATGGTTTAAACTGAACTCGGTGAATTGAACGACAACATTTAAATTTGAAATAAGTTTTACGTAATATCATTAACTATTGGTACAGAAGGTAATATTATCATAGAATAAATAAACGCCATTTATATTAGTTAATCTATGATATTATTCTGAAATAGGGGTCTATTTTTTACATCGAAAAAATTGTCTTGTACAACGTATAGTGAACGAAGAGAAATTTCCTCAAGCAATACTAATTCATTAATCCGAATTTACTAAATGTAGAGTGGAAAACAAATATTCTCAGTTTACAGTTAGTAGGTCCAATATATTTTCAATACATACGATTCAAGAAGTTTACTTGTTTTGACCCAGTCGCAGCCCGCACCGCCATTTTGGTCAGATGTTGACGAAGTGTATACCCCCGAGAGCTACAAATCTCATAGATAAATGTGGCCTCGCAAACTGGTAATACAAGAACTGTCGGGGGAAATAAAAACGTCTTATTTGCAATCATCAAAAACCCTGTTGTTGTCGAGTACTTTACCAAGAAAAATCGTCATGAGACCGTTTACGAGTTTAAATTACCAACTTACAATCATATCACTAGTTAAAAGTAATAGTGGAAAGATTAAAAACGCGTTTCGGGTTTAGTTACACAATTTTTTAAGTGTTGTTACATTAGATCCATATCATGTTAACCATTACGACTTGCAATAATTAAAACAAAATAATAAATCCTGATTTAATAGGCCGTACTCGATGCCTTTTGTTTTATTACTTTGGATTAAGAATGAAGAAGAACTTCTAGATGTTATTTTCAGACCAACGGAAAACCTAGTTACCTGTATTCATAAACAGCTCTTGCAAAAAAGTTAATTACGTTTTTTATCCAACGTAATAGGATGGAGTACATCTTTCACAATTTCAGAAGGTATGTCTGACAAATTTGAAAAAGTGAAATTAAAATACGTTAAGATCTTCAATATTACCCACGCATTGTGAATAAAAAGTGGTATTAAATTTGTCCTAATTTGTGAATTCGATAAATTTCTTATCTTATGTATAGAACGATAAGGTGATGGTTGGGGTGATATTAAACTAATATTTCGTGTAAATAATGTATTTATCATTTGTTGATTTCGTCTGTATTTCTATTAATCAAAACTTTAATTCTCAAATAAATCATGAACAAATGGTGACACGCATCTTGACGGTAAACTAACTAGAATATAATAAACCCGAGCGGAAGATAAAAGTTGGGTTTTTGTGATGTGATATTGGCAAAGTTAAAGCCGAACCCAGGCTAATGGTAAAAGTTAGAAAACGTAAACTAGCTTATACCACTCCTCTAAAGATGACGACGTCAAGCCAATCCAGAATGCCGATAAAAAATATTACCTTTTATTGATTTCCCCCCAGCTTTTATACCTTATTCAACATAGATCTCTAAGAATTTCTTTCAAAACATCCTTATTGACCATATATTTTTGTTTGAGAAAATGTTTAAATTCAATGTCAGGTTTGTATTTTAATTTATTTAGTACTGGCATTCTTATATATTTGCACGTATATACTTTCGGAAGAGTCGCTGTAGAATTAAACTAGTTATAATATTGATTACTCTAACTTTAAGTATTTCAAAACCAGAAGTTTCGGGGAAAACTGGATTAGTGCCATCATAATATAAATTTGACCGATTACTACAACTTAAAATAAAAAGCATGAATCTTACATAATTTTACGCAAATTTTGTACTTTTACGAATATTACTGACAATTAATTATTGTAGTTGTAGAACTTTTTATTGTTAAATACGGACGAAATGTTGTTTATCCAACTCGTAATTTTATCATGAACCCTTTTTTAGTTAATTTATATTTTACTGATAAAAACCATTATTATTGTCATATTTTTTGTCTACCAACAAAAACGTGATATTATACGGCATATATATAATACATGAAGGCATAATACGTGAAGGCGATTTCTATGAAACACTACTCCTCCGATAATAATGGACAGATTCTTACAAACGATGTGTCAAAATTAATTATATTTTGTGTAGACGCCCCCTTTCACCAATTCCTGTAATAAAAAGTCTTCGGGCTTTGCCCCACAGGTCATCAAAACCCCAATGTATTTCTTGTAATTTTATGTCGGAATAAAACCTTTGTAACTATTCCAGGTGATTCTCGAGACAATATCAAGGCCTACTTTATAGCCTTGTACAATGTAGGGCATGAGTAGTTTAGTTCGCCACCCATGGGACTACATGCAGCTGTTTACAAACTGTTAACGAACACTGCCTCTGTGGGCCTCTCAACATCTTGATATTGGACTAAATAGCTTATTTAAGTCAACCATGTTAGAGTGAAAAAAAAACATGATACAATTGCAAGGTAAACCAGCGTAAAATCAAACATAAATAACAAATGTATATAAAACTAGGAGTACGCTCCGAAGTCACGTATGAGAATGAACGAAGAACATTTCATACATACAAATAAATTTTCAGAGTAGCCATATTCATATTAGTAAATGTATATAAATATGTGTAAATCCTTCAAAAAGCCAAATCCAAGCCACTTATCCACTGAATGCCTTGTATGTATTAAGGATACCAACGTAGTCTCCAGAAATATCAGTAAGACAGATCATCTTCAATGTCATGATTGTCTATAAGTCGGATAATTATATAATAAAATAAACAGTTACCTTGTTCAATATCCTTTGGAATTGTTGGATGACGACAGGTGTCGTGACGACAATCACATCATCAGGCCAATACTCGTAGTATATACATAAAGTTTTTACCGAACACTAAACAAAAACACATTATATTTACAAAATATTTAAATACAGAAACCATCGCGATGCGTGCACGCTTACGTCGAGCCGGCCGCGACTGGAGTTCCGTCGAAGGTCAAGGTGACGTCATCTGAAATCAGCTGATCGGTGGTTTCAGTTTCCTTTCTCTGTTTAATTTGATGATAGTATCAAACAACTCGTTCGCCTGACTATTGATTTTGTCATTTAAAATATGTTTTGTTTTTTTATTTAAAGGCCTTACCGGTATATATTTCAAAATTTTCGAGAGCTGTTGTTTTGGCTGTATTGTTGCATGTGTGAATTACTGTCATATTTTCTTCGATTTTTGAATAGCTGTGGTTGCTACTGACTAGATATTCGGCGTAATTAGACTTTTGAGTGTGGGTGTTTTTTGGTAAATGCTCTTTATGTCGGGGTTTAAATGAGCCCAATGTCCAGTACTAGGAAAATGAACCCGGGTAATTATATCAGTTTATAATTTTAATAAATAAACCCACTGTCCTGGGGAA